TCAAATAGGTTGAATTCCACCTAGTTGCACAATCAAGTCCTAATTTCTTAGTATGTGGATTACGCAATTGATTGACTGTTTCTTCAAATTTTTCTTGCCTTTTTGGTGCTGCTGTCCAATAAGCTACCCTCTCTCGAATTTTCTCCACACCCACTCGTATGACATCCAATCCATCTTTGACAATCAAATTCAAAATATGCGCACAACAATGCATATGAAACAAATTACCACCCAACAAAAGCAAGGTATTACTCAACTTATCCATCAACATAGTAATCATGGCATCATTTGTAGAGCAATTATCAACAGTAACAGTAGAGATTTTTCTATCAATATTCCAATCCATCATACATGCAAGCAAAGTATCACAAAGAACTTCTTTTGTGTGTGGACATGGAACATAAATAAACCTAAAACATAATATAAACAAGTATTAATAATATGCAAATTGAACCGAATAAGATAGAACTGTTAAAATATTTGCAAATTTACAAACTCAATGCAAATTTACCTCAAAATGCGACTTTGCAATGTCCATGAATCATCAATAAAATGTGCAGTGATAGCCATGAATCCTTTCTTTTGATTGCTAGCAGTCCACATATCAGTTGTGATTACCACCCTACTTTTAACATGCTCTACCAAACTCAATGTCTTCACCCTCTCATAATCATAAATTTTTAAAATATCACTCTTTATCGTATTTCGAGAAGGTACTCTAAACAATGGTTGAAGTGCTGTTGAATATCGTTTAAAACCAACATGATCTACGATAGAGAGGGGGTATTCATGCAATATTATGGCATGAGACAACTCTTTCCAAGCAAAATCTTCATCAAAAGTATAAGAATTCATTTTTGGACTCTCTCTATTAAAGTTGTTAGTTAAAACTTTTTGCCTCATGTCCAACACTTTTTTGCTAGTGCAACTCTTAAAGTGATCATGCAAATGCCTAGTTCCATTTTTTGAATCACCTCCAAGATGCTTATTACAATAATCACATATTGCCTTCCACACCCCATTGACTTGTTGTTTCTTAAAGTGTTCCCACACAACACTAGTTTTCCTTTTAGTTCCTCCACTAGTATTAGACTCTTCTTCTAAGTCAATAACATTTTGATTAGAGAGGGGAGAAGGTGAGTTGGTAGGTGAATTGGTAGGTGGCAATGATTGTTGTGATGCCTCACTATCAAATGGTACTTGAGAGTTAACTGGTACTTGAGAGTTAACTTCTAACATTTTTAACCTTTACAAAAATAACATGAAATGAATAACCAAAGGCAGCTCATTATAATGTAAACATTAATCACATCCAAATATCCAAATATCCTAAGAATTCTAATCTTTCAGTGCCTCGGTCTCAAACATTCTTTAAAACCTCACATGTTCATGGTATACATTTTAGACTCATGATATTGCTATGTTCATTGTATAACCAGCATCCAGATTAAACAAGCAACAATTAAACTTGCAGAATTAACAATTATAATCCATGGATGAAACTTTCTACTTGGTACTTGTATAGTGCAAAAAACTAGATACAAACAGAAAACTAATAAAAAATTTCTCACAATTTCTACTCATATTATTCATTCTCATTCTCATTCTTGTTCTTATAAATTATATCTTCCTTTAATTTTTTAAGGGAGTTATATATAAATCCTAATAGGTGGACTTATTATTCAATAAGTCTTATGATAATTAATAACATTTTTCATTAAATATTATTAAAAAAACGTCACTAATTATTTAATTTTAGTGATAATTTAAAAAATGTCACTAATTTAAGTTTTAGCGACAATATAAAAAAATCGTCACAAAAAGCCACTAAAAAACACCACTAATTGTATGTTTAGTGGCAATTTATAAAAATTATAACAAAAATGTCATTAATTGTTAATTTTTAGCGACATGTAAAAAAGTTACAAAAAATTATTTTTAGTGACAATTTTACTAGAACTTATTTTCAATAAGACTTGATAAAAATTAAATTCAACTATTAAAATTTATTGATAATTTACCTAATTTTTTCCTCTCAACCAATCTAATTAGATGGAATGAATAGAAGGTTTTTTTTTTTTTAAAAAAAAAGAAAAGATAAAAAGTTGAGGTTCAAGGAAAAGTTGGGCGGTGGAAAGAAGAAAAAGAAAAAA